TCCTTCAAAATCTGTATAAATTTAATATTATCATGTAAAAATCTGTTTTCACTGTAGTGTGCATACCTACATACACATATGCATACACACATATATTTATTTACCAGGACATTTATTTTATTTAAAAAATATGCATACACAATTGGGTTTATAACATGAATGTAGACTTGTTTCACCTTTCAATATCACGCAACAGGTTAAAGCCAGAGGAACTAACAACTATTGTATGGTTAAAGAAGGTAAACACCTGGTGACAAAAAGTGCTACCTTGCGGATGAGGATCACCCGTGGAGAGGTCCTAGAAACCCCTTTCAGCTGTTAGGCCATATTTATGACAAGAGCCAGGCTGGGGTTCCAAAATAACCAAAAAAAAATAATTACATCCCACGAGGTGTCGACTTGGATCTAACAGAGTGACAGCCAGAGGAACAAACAACCATTGCCTGAATACAGTTAATAAATTAGAACGTTTAACTTGTATGTTTAGTGTTATGGGTCTAGTAGGAAACAGGTTCAGGCGTTAGCTTTGTGCTACAAGGGGTTCACAGTGATGTAGCAGTTAGATGCTCCACCTGCCAGCTGGAAGGTCATCAGTTCAATCCACATCGAATGAGACTCAGCCTAATATGAATAAAGTCGTGAAAAGTAAAGGGTGCTAACATGATGCTGACTATATCATCCTTCGATAGGCGATTCATCAATACACATTGCCCTATTCTTGATAGTTGTTATAGTATCGAATTCTGTTCGGTAGCTTATTTTTACTCCCCCTTGTCCCATATAACTTCAGACTCAGACATTTAATACATCTTTGTGTTTCCCTACGATGTTTGAATCTGTAGGCTTACCCTAACCATCCCTTTCTGGGGGGGGGGGGGGGGGCTCAAGTCCCCATGTTCCGTCTCCCCTGCTTCATCGACTCCCACAGACTTCTGACACTGCCACAGAAAATTAGCCCGTTTCTCTAGCAGAGGATGCTTCTTCTTCTATTTCTTCTTCTTCTTCTTCTTCTTCTTCTTCTTCTTCTTCTTCTTCTTCTTCTTCTTCTTCTTCTTCTTCTTCTTCTTCTTCTTTGAGTACCGACTGTAAGCTCTTGCGAAAAGTCCTGGTTGTTCGTCCATCTGGACTTTGGCTTTGTGCCAGGGCCCGAGATTTTCGTCTACATTTGTTTTACTGAATTATTTGTGTGCAGTTGATTGTTCCTTGCCGCTCCAGCAAATGCACTACGACTTCAAAGGAAGCTCCAAGTACGACATGCTTTTTGGGGAGGTAGTGGGTCTATGTATTCTTGTTTTCCCCCACAAGGGCGCCCCGAAACCCAACCGAGGATACTAGGGGATGCAACTGAGTGTTGTCTACAAATATGTTGTTTCTCTCCCTTTCACAGTAAATTTAATGTTAAAAAGTTAGTTGCGTATCATTTACAGAACGTTGCTGGCTGTTGTGGTTTTCTAGGCAAATCTAGTAGCTTGCCATTGCTTCCTGGACGGTCGTCTTCTTGATGCCACTGTCGAAACCAACGCAAGGCCGGGTTCGAAACTGACACCCCGGCATTACGAGTGCGTTCGCAACGCCTAAGCAAAAGACGCTGACAAAAGCATTGTGGCGAAGAGCGTTCTTAACGAACAGTTAGTTAACAATAACAGTATATCTTCGAACTTAATTGTTACAAAAGTAACCGAATGATTAGAGGATGTTGCACGCGTTATAACACCGTTCTGGATCGTGTAGTTTATGTAAAAAAAAATAAGAACCAGTGTTTCAAGGAGTGGAATATTTATACGGTCATCACTACCATCATATACCTTGCCGATTAGGGTGAGTTTTTGTCATCTCCATAATCTGCGATCTTGAAAAAAAAAAAAAAAAACTAAACGTATCTCGGATGAGCTAGTTAGAATACATCTTACGTTGAATAAAAAAGAAAAGGAATATTTAAAAATGAGTTACCACATTAAAAAATAACAATGTCGTAAATGAGAATTAGATAACATTATATTCGAAATGAGGCGTCCGTGGTTTAGGTGTTGCGAGTCCGACTTGTTATTCCAATCTAACGAGATCAAAACCCAATGCTGGCTGTGTGGATTTTTATCATGGTAGTAAAGTAAAGACTGCCGGCGTAATGCTGACCGCATTACCTACCTAGTGCCAATTTGTCTGTAAAACTATGCGAGCTCTTCCCTTATGCACGATGCGCCTAAGGCGTAAAAACAAACTTTACTTACTTTTACTTTACTTTGATATTTGAAATAATATGAAATGTGTAAACATATACTTAAAAAGGCAGCTTTAATCCGTAGGGGGGAAAAATGTGGTGGGTAAACCTTGATCTCGTTACATATTTTCTAGGGGTTACCCCTAGTGGTAAAGAGTAATCGGCTATCCTCCGAAAAACTGTCCTAAATTATCGAGGCGGAAAATATACCCTAACAGGGCCTCAGTCACGTATCAATTGCGCACTTCCGTCGTCTTAAATTGCGCACTTCCAGCGACTTCCGCCACCGCCGAGAGTATCCCCCACGCTCACGCAGCGTGGATTGGTGCTCAACTAGATGGCTGGGACTCACGAGCAGCAGCTGCCGCATCTCCTGCAGCTTCGTTCATTTTATCTAATCGTGAGCCCTAGCCATCTAGTTTAGCCCCAATCCAAACCGTGTGAGCGGCGTGGGGGATACTCTCGGCGGTGGCGGTATAGTCCCCGGAATTTCTCAATTCAGCGGTGGCGTTATAGTCCCCGGAAGTGCGCAATTGACACATGACTGAGGCCCTTTCATGGTATATTTTCCGCCTCGATAGTTTAGGACCATTATTCTGAGGATAGCCGAGAAATCTTCTAAACCTTTTTTTAAAAAAAAATTTTATGACAAAGTAAACAATAGACCATTGTCAGAGCATTGGCGCATCCAGTGTAAGTTGCCAGTACTTTGTTTTCATATGCCAGTTAGCATTCGATGCGGTGATACAGCAAACATCATGCTTTTCGCTTTGCATGCTATAGTGTGCTACTGAAATAGTCCAAAGTGCGTATTATTATATGAGATGGGAAACCCCATTTAATTTCCCTAGTTAAGAAGAGAAAAATCCAGGATTAAAAATAGAAAAGGAGGTCACGATTCAAGTCATGCCCTCATATTATCTCTAAAACCATTTCAGTCATTTGGTCTCTTTATTCTAGTGATTAGTGCTGACTTACACAGAAACATGAGAGACATTGATGCATCTCATTCTCTATTCTGATCTTGGTTTGCCTCTTGGATAGGTCCGAAAATTCCTATTGGTAAACGATTTAGTATTAGATCATAAAATCTGACAAACTGAAATGGATTGGGCATATTGAGAGAATATCAAATGACAGAGAAGAAAAAACTGTGTTCACAGGGATCTGTATGGTCAAAGAGCACGAGGTAGAACAAGAATTCCATTCGAGAAATAACGTCCAAAAAGACCTACAAACACTTCGTGTCACTAACTAAAAAGGGAAGGGCAGTCAGAGAGATGGGAGGAGGCGGGTGATATCCGCCGCAATGAACCTCTAGGGCTCGGAACGCTGAAGAAGTAGAAGAAGAAGAAGAAGAAGAAGAAGAAGATAAGAAGAAAAAGAAGAAGAAGAAGAAGAAGAAGAAGAAGAAGAAGAAGAAGAAGAAGAAGAAGAAGAAGAAGAAGAAGAAGAAGAAGAAGAAGAAGAAGAAGAAGAAGAAGAAGAAGAAGAAGAAGAAGAAACGAAAAGGGCAAATCCCATAGATCCCTTTCAATCATCCATACAGTAGAAGTGGCAGCAGCTGCAGTAGAAATACTTGCAATGGCAGTAATAAGACCAGGTGTATAGAAATTCTCAGTTTACGTTTACACACGTTACGTCAGTTTTAGAACAAACCAAATCGCCATTCATAATATACACACAATTAAACATTACACAGTAATCGAGCAAAGTGTAAGAAAAAAAAAAAAAAAGGCTAACAGGAAAACAAATGTTGACATATATGGAAAAAAATGCAACAAACTGAGGTGAAAATGTATCATAAAGGCTTTTGCTTACAAGCTATCTAGAGTGGCTTTCGATACTTGTGTGGACATAAATGCAAGCAAATACAAAGGTATATCCCAGTATGCAAATAACAATGGTGTGATATATTGGCACATATTAAAATATTTCAAATGCAAGTTCTTTGTCTTTTTTTTTCTCCTCCTCCGTCTTCAGATATATTATGGTCTGGAAAAATCATTAGTTAATTAGTTACTATTCTCTTCTCTCATCCAACAATCTGGTGAATTTTGATGTTCATTACTTTATTTTCCAGTACAATGTTTATATGTTATCCGCAACACTTCTTCTGGTGAGATGCTCTATACATCCGAGAATTATATTCGCCTTTAGAGAACTGCGATATTTTAATGATAATTCTAAAGACCTTCCCACAGGTTGCCGAAGTCTTTCTCGAAATGGGTTTGCTACGATGGGCTTGGCAAACGTAAATAGAATAGGCGTTCCCTTTAACGTCAGAACGCGTGTACTCAAGAGATAAGAAACCATCAGTCTAACTACAATTAATTCACATCTGTAAAACGGATGTCCAATCAACACTCACGTCCTAGGACAAAACCAAGGTCCGGACGAACAAGCATGAATTTCAGTTGCAGTGCATCGCTAGCAAATGCAATAGAAGACGAAGAGTTTGTCTCTGCGCAACATCTTCCATCGTGAAGTTTACAATCTCGCCATTGTCTATCACACCTTACGTGGTAATATCTCCCGTCACATCTTTGATCGCAACGATTACAGTCTCGTCATTGCCTATCACACCTTCTATAGCAACATCTCTGGTCACATCTTTGATTGCAACGTTTACAGTCTCGCCAGCGTCTATCACACCTTACGTGGTAACATCTCCCGTCATATCTTTGATCGCAACATCTTCCATCGAATGTCACTAAAAATTCATTATGTCCAAGATTGGTTAATTTTCCACTTGACAAAGCAAGTGGACTCTCAGTCATCGTCAGGAAACAAATGGGCGAATCTTAGTGTTTCTGACATGTTTTCGTCTGGTGGTCATTTCCACTAGCATATATCCTGAAATGAGTGCAATCACTGCAAAAATAGATACACATAAAGACACTACCACGGCTATAAGTGGCCGGGCAGTGTCATCGTTTTCCTCCACCCAAAATTCATCTTCTCCACCATCACCGCTGCCCGGTCTAGACTTACCTCTACCTGAGCTTCCATGACTGTTTTTAACATCTGACTCTCCACTGACCTGTGCGAACATAACAGAATCCTGAAAAAATTCACAAGAACACTGGTTACTATCCGGTTCATTCATTGCTAATTGTCTATGCTTCTTTTCTTCAGATGGCTCCGAATCACTGCAAGAGTAAAATGGAACGTTGTAAATATTTGGTACACAGATTCCGTAAACATTTCCCAGCGTTGTCCCAGAAGGCAGAAATTTAAATTACCTAAATCAAAGCGGAAAGTTAAGAAAGATGTGTTGGTTGTGACGATTACATCGTCTGCATCCTTGAACTCTATAGAATCAACTATTGACGTAGTAACATCAAACAGCTCCCCGACAAGAAGAGGATAAATTGTTGTAGGGCGAGTCTTGCTGGCATTTCTCAAAATGTGGAAATTGCTGGGATTCATTTCTCTCTGAAAGAAAGAAGGACATGTGCATATACATCCGCCTTTCGACAAGTTTCCGTCACAAGTGAAATAATGTTCCACACTGGGTAGGAAAAACCCATTCTCTGCACACAAGTTTGTTGGATGCGAGGATGCATTGCTGCATAGCGTCATTTTGATGTAGATGCTGACAGGCTGTGAGGCTGTAATCCAAGCTGAAGACGTTCTACTGACTACAGTCATGAAGTTTCCAGAATGATCCAGAAAGAGTTCCCTAGAGACAGTGTCGGTTGTTAAGTCCAGACTTGTATTTTCTTGACCTGAAATATAAAATAACAGTGTACAGGGTTTAGAAAAATTAATTTTGGCAGCCAAGAAGAGGTAGAAAATCTATCCCTAAATTTGAAAAAAAAAAAAAAATTATGCCAAGAATAAATAAAACACATTAACCGCGTATTAAAATCGCTAACGAGGAGACGGACAATGTCACATATCCTGAATATTTAGCCTCAATAGTAAAAGAGCAATTTTTTTTTTTTCATCGAACACCGGCTGTGAATTCCTGTGGAAGGTCCCGGTTAATCGTCCGCTTGGACTTTTGGCTTTCACCTGGACCTGATTTTTGCGTGTACAACCGTTTTTCATTTCCCTGCCTCATGGGCAGCTGTACGCAGACTTCGAAGGAAGACGTCAGGCCTATTTCTAGGGTGACTGTGGCCATTGTTTTGTGTGGATCGAGACGTTGCCTGATTTGTGTGGTGTCCACTTTGTCTCCTTTGCCGCAGGTATTGCCCCTGGAGTACCCCTTTGGGGCAGTCCCCTGTGGAACAGTTGGCCTTCAAGGAAAGGCAGGGGCAGATCATGGGCATTCCCCGCCATCCAAGGAGGCTTCCATGCATGCAGAGCCGGCACATGGCGCTCTGGTTCTGGGCTCACCCAAGGAATCGTCACGTCCTGCACATGCCTGCTTAACCTCACAACCGTATCAGGCCTCCCGCTCGACAGGGGCTGCGCCCTCTGGAAGTCAGCGGGGAGCAGCCCGTGGGTTTTGGACTTTTGTGACCACACAGATAGGTACATTCTTTTTTTTTTTTTTTCTTCGCACGTTGTTTGATGAGCCGTTAGCCCGACTGAATTTTACATCCTGAATCAGGCATATCGTTATCAGTTTTGTCCCAACACTCGGGCGAGTGGGGTCTTTGGGTGAGGACATTCGGTCTTTTTCAGTTCAGTGCAAATTTTGATGGTCAGATTTTGATCCGTGTGATCTAGCTTTGTCGGACATTTAGTCTTAGCCATCCGATGGATGGTTGCTGTTGTGGTGTACCAAAGCGCGGTGACGACGACACTGAGGGTTAACCGAGGATGTACGTGAATGGCCAGCCTATGGATGGTTGCTGTTGTGGTGTATCTCAGCGCAGTGACGACGACACTGAGGGTTAACCGAGGATGTGCAGTGAACAATGTTCTCTTTACTCAGCAGTCTTTTAACCAAGGGTTGTAATTTTGGCTGTACGTTTGGCAAATCTACTCATGTTCCTAATGAGTTTTGATAACATTTTTCACCCAAGCGTTTGGGGGCGGGCTGATGAGAGCCACAAGGACACATCACCTCTGGGGGCCGCCAAACTCCGAGATCCCCTGACAGCTCTGTTAATGCTCATTTGAGACATTATCAGTGGCGAACGACGAGGACGTGCTGTAGGGGTCTTGCGTGAGGTTCCGTACAACCAGGATAGTGAAGGACTGGCGCCCGAGTGACGTACGGAGTATCTCCTTATACACATCATGTTGGACTTAACTTCCCCTCACGCCTGTGACATAAATCACCGCGCCACAAAAAAGCAATGGTGACTGCACAAACAAAGCCCGAAAAAAGACTCACTTTAGCGTTGCAGATACTAAATTGCATGAAGAACATATGGTACAGAACCTACAAGCGAGTAGAACTAACATTTCCTAGATCATGTATCTTCCCACGGTAAGGTTAAAGTTAGTTGCGTATCCTTGACAGGACGTTGCAGAACCAACCCCAGCATTTTTTGGCTGTTTTAGTTTTCTAGGCACATTTTACATTCAGTAGTTTGCCACTTCTAAACGGTCAGCTCTCGGTACCACTGTCTAAACCAGAAATATCTTCTTCAGCTCAGATCGAACCTGGGGTCCCGGCATTACAAAGCGACTTTGCGACGCCTGAGCCACAGACGCCGACCATGGCAAGGTATGGATGCGAATCATGGACTGTTACTCAAATATAAAAAAAAAGAACCAGACAATTCGGAATTTTGAACTGAAATCTTACAGAATAATTCTTAAAATGCCATGGTCGAAGAAGAAGAAAAAACATTGACATCCCAAACAATCTGGGCTTCAAAAAGAAACTCTCTCTTGTCTTGAAAACTGAGATATTTTGGTATTTATAAACGTCTTGTTGGCCTGTTGAGAACTGTGATGGATGGACAGTTTCTGGAATATAAGGCAGAAGCAAACCTCCATGTAAGTGGACACAAGACACTGAAGATACATTCGTCACGAAAGCACATAGGGATGGACAGTTGGCTATACAAAGAGAGACTTTTAGGCGTGCTGTGATGAGAGCAACGTTCTGTAAAGGGTCAGTTGATTGATTTGTGACGATATTTTCCGATCAACATCATCATCATCTTCACCATTATTTCAACTCTGGGTCTGTAAAACGAATGTGCACGCAAAACTCAAGTTTGGGAACAGAGTTAAATTCCAGAAGTGGACGAACACAACCAGAATTTCCTAGGAGTTTACAGCTGATGAACGTGAAGAAGAGGAAGTTTAGTGTCTCCCTATCTTTCTCCCCCCTCCCCTTCCTCACCCTAATTAAACCGTTGACCATCTCCATGATTTATGATTTCAACATTCCCTCACCAGCACCAATTACATTACTGTCTACTATAATTCCATCAGTCCCCGTTTCCACATACGCAGATCATCTAAACGCACTGAAGATTTGGAAACTCTTCCCCTATGGCTAATTAAACATTTATTCTCCAAAGCTAGTTTATTCTTTTTCTGAAACAATATACACCTTTCTTCTTTCTTCTTCTTCCGCCTTTCTATCCCCCAATGGAGCATAGGCCCTCAACCCACGTCCAGTCGTTCCTTCGCCATTGCACGGAGCTCTCCCCATGTCCTCCCCATCTTTCTAACATCATTCTCCAGCTCTCTTTTCCATGTGTTTTTTGGCCTTCCTTTTTTCCTAAGCCCCTATGGGTTCCCTAACATTTCAGGTGCCAGTTCTGGAGATTCTCCTAGCTGAGAGGAGGTACGTCGACGATCCTGACTCCTTACGGCTTTCTCCACACCGTGTCATACTTCTTCTATTTGAAGAGCTTCCCCTTATCTTGGTTGGCTGGTTTTACTTGCTTCTCTTTTTGACTTATCCATGGTTGGTTGTTTTTTGTGGCTATGGTTTTTACAGGATGAGGTAGCCAACCTCAAGCCCAACCCTACCCTCAGTCGCGTCTTACGACATGCCTGGTAGGGTGCAGTGTCATTATTCTTTGCCTCCTGTGACGGTCCAGGTGACACACGGGTGATATATACATTTGCTGGCCAATAAAACAATTAAACCTCTGTGATTACAAGAATTAGAGTGATTACCCTCTAACATTTTCACAGTATTCCTACTTTTGACGGATTGGTCAGATATCGCTTTATCAAATTCGTTGCCATCGAGTTTGCCAGATAACTTGTGGTTTCTCTGACAATATGTCTAAGCATGTGTCATCACTTTCAGAAGACAAACCGTCTGAAACAACAGTCGTTTCACATTGTCTAGTATAATTAGTTGTGTAATGTTCTTATATTCGTAATGCTGGGGTGCCGGGTTCGATCCCAGTTGCAGACGGTTTGTCTTGCGTTGGTTTCGACAGTGGCACAAAAAGCTGACCGCTGAGAAAGCAATGGCAAACAACTGAACATATATTGTGCCTAGAAAAACCACAACCTACAAAAATGGTAGGGTAAGTTCTGCAATTTCCTGTAAAGGATACGCAACTATTTTTTAATGTCCGTGCCAATTCAGCGAATGTCCTATGAGGAAAACGTTTAACGTTTTTGTTTTTGTTTTTGTGCGTTCGCCTTTAATCGAACTGGCGCTCTGGGTTGTGCTTTACAGCCTAGCTGGGATATCTACACCTTCAGGTCAAACAATATGTTATTCGGCAAATTGTTAATTAGTCGACCTTTGACGTCATATCTGCTTAGGTAAGCAAAAGAAATTGATAGAAAACCCACTGCAGATGATGATGATGACGATGGCGATGAAGATGGCGACAACAGTAATGGTGGCTGGAAGGTGGCTGTGTCGCTATTTACCTAAGATCACGGAAACATGATGCTTTATTCATATTCGAGAACAAAATCCAACGTGTTCTTATATTTATTTCTCACTGGTGTAGTTGCTGTTAAAAATATGAATACTTTTTCTGAAAGTCCATGCCATGTGGCGTTGGTATACATGTCTATCTACAACCTTCTGTCTCATGTACTTATAATCAACTCCGACACAGATGATCTTCCAAAAAAATGATGTTAAAGCGTCCAGCCTCTGTTCTCTTGGTCTCCCTCTGCCTCTCCTCCCCTCCAACTTTCCTACTGTCACGATGTACACCAGTTTTCTTCTTCTCATCACATGACCAAAGAATGTAGATTGTCTCTTTCTGATGTGGGCAATCAGTTCTCTTCGTGAGTCAGTATTTTTCAAGACGTCTTCATTACTCTTTTTATCTGTCCTCGGTATTCTCCCTTCCAAACAAGTTTTCACTAATTCACTTACGGTCCATGATTCGCATCCGTATATCAATATAGGATTTAAATAACTTTTAAGAATTCTCGTTCTTGTCTCAGTTGACAAAGACTGCTTAACATATTCTTTATTTTGTATACTGCTCCCTTTGCTTGAGCTAATCGACATGTAGCTTCCGTAATACATCTTCCATCTGATGTTATCAGGGTACCCTAGTACTTGAAAATATCAACCTGCTCGAGGTTTGTCAAATTTCCTTTGATGTTGCAATTTGGAGGGTTTTTCTTTGTAATTATCATTACTTTTGTTTTTCTGCTGTTCAAACTAAGACCCCCGTTTTCGCTTTCCGTTACAAATAAATCCGTTATTTCTTGCAGTTGTGTTTTATTTTTGGCGATCAAAACTAAATCGTCAGCATATCACAGGTTGTTAACAATATGCCCACCAACCGCTTTTCCTGGCATACCATGTATAGATCTAATTATTTTTTCGCTGTACAAAATGAATAAATCGGGTGATACGCATACACATCCCTGC